GTCCTGGAGCAAGCTCCCACTTAGGTGGGAGGGTACATTTGTACAAGTAGATAAAGTGAGCTTGCTTCCTAAATGTCTGCTTCATATTGAACTTGAACTGGGATAGAAAGCTTGTGTCGGTCTCAGTTCTTTTAATGCCCACCATAGTGTTATCATTAGACCACGGCAAGTATTCTAGTGTCTAGAAATGCTTGCTTTTGGGAGAACACAGTCCTAAATGCAAACCAGTTTTCTTGTTGGGTTCTTATCCAAAGTAGAGAGAGCTGCTCACTTTATTTTCTAAGGTAATTATGACTGCATGATTCTCACCTTGGTTACCTTCCTACCCTAATCCCTTCTCTGACCAAGACTCCCTGTTGCTGTAGGAGAATAAAGTGAAGACATGGCTGAATTTTTTACTTTATTTTATTTTTTGGAGGCAAGGTCTCACTTTGTTGCTCAGACTGGAGTGCAGTGTCATGATCATGGCTCACTGCAACCTCGACCTCTTGGATTCAAGTGATCTTCCCACCTCAGCTTCCTGAGTAGCTGAGACTATAGGCACATGCCACCATGCCCAACCAAGTTTTTAAAAAAATTTTGTAAGACAGGATCTCGCTGTGTTGCCCAGGCTGGTCTTGAACTCCTGGGCTCAAGCAGTTCTCCTGCCTTGGCTTCCCAAAGTGTTGGGATTACAGATGTGAGTGATTGCACCCAACCTATGGCTAAATATTTTAAGTAGAAGATTTTAACATAGACAGAGGACATGTGTTTTCCAAAGGAAATTAGATTGCTTACAGATGTTAATATGATAACTGACTGAGTTAGTTGGAATTCTTTAGTTGCAAGTAATAGCAACCAATCTAAGCTAGCCTAATCCTCTGTATGTCAAGAAGACCAGTCATCACATTTACTGTCTTGGTCTAGTGGACTCTTAATCTTTTACTATTAAGTCATTTTGCAAATAATTTACTGAAGTATGAATGAAGTGATAGTAGAAAACTATTGGAAACTTTAATACAATTTTCATACAGCAAATACAAATTATTCTTTTGAAAACATATACTCACAATGGGCAATGTTCTTTGAGTTCAGTTAACTGCTTATTAACCCTTATACATAGATCAGAGTGTATTTGTCTTTTAAATACTGATTCTAGATTTCATTTGCCTCCCTAATAAATTTCAGGGTATCATTACTTCTGGTTTTTCTTCTTGATTGTGTCGTTAAAACTGAGAATTTTGAAAACTTGAATGGTTCATGATTTTGTTGAAGAGACAGTGGCTGTGGCCTTTGCTCCATAATTGCAAAGTATTTTTACTCTTAGATTTGTAAATGACAATTAGAGTGATCAACCCACTGAATTTTTTTCATTTCTGTGTCATCTGTTTCCTCCTAGTCACTTCTGTATACACAGCTTCCTCCAGCATTTGTCCACATGTGAACTGTGTCAAGTAAATATTGGCATGCAAATATCATATGTAACAAAGCCTGTTGTCACGTATTAGCAAAATGAGGTGGTTTAGGTCTTTGTCACAAAATAGTGAAAAGTAAAATATATTTCTGTTGAGTGACTAGTCAGTGTGAAAACCGTATCTCCTTTTTGTTCTGGGAAATACATAATTTGTCAGTCTTGAGTTTGAGGAAGCCCATCTCTAGGGGATTGCCATCTAAAGACTTCTTGGAGATTTTGCTTCTATAGTCAGCCTCACCGTAACTGTCAAACTGCAGTGCTGCTTTCTTTCTCTTTGCACTTATCTTCTGTGCTGTATAATAATCATACAATGTTTTCCTTCATCAGTTTTCTTCTCTTTGTTGAAAAATAAACAATTCTGAATTTCCAGCTGTGTTCGATGAAAGCCAAAAAAAAAAAAAAAAAAGAGAGTATAAAGATGGTATCTCCTTACTGCTACTTTCTTTTAAAAAGATAATGCAGCAGTTTGGGAGTCGGAGGCCAGAGGATTGCCTGAGTCCAGGGGTTCGAGACCAGCCTGGGCAACATGGTGAGACCTCATCTCTACAATAAATAAAAAAATTAGTTGAGCGTGGTGGTGCATGCCTGTAGTTCTACCTACTTAGAAGACTAAGGTGAAAGGATTGCTTGCAGATCAAGGCTGTGGTGACTGTGAGCATACCATAGCACTCTAGCCTGGGCAACAGAGTGAAACTCCCACTTAAAAAAAAAAAGAGTTAATGCAGTTCTTTGGGTAATGCAGTCAGAAAACTGGTTGTTTCATTATTGCATCTTCTAGATTATTTTATAAGTCTTCCATTTTGTTATTTTAGTGACGTTTAGCATAGTTGGGAAGAATTGATTAATAATAATAAATTCATAGCATGGGCCAGGCACAGTGGCTCATGCCTGTAATCTACAGACTTTGGGAGGCTGAGGTGGGAGAATCGCTTGAGCCCAGGAGTTCAAGATTAGCCTGGGAAAGATAGTGAGACCCAGTCTCTACAAAAAATAATTTAAAAAAAAATTAGCCAGTTGTGGTGGCATGTGCCTGTAATTCCAGCTACTCAGGAGGCTGAGACAGACGAATTGTTGGAATCAAGAAGGTCGAGGTTTCAGTGAACTGTGTTCATGCCACTTCTCTCCAACCTGGGCAACAAAGTGAGACCTCACCTAAAAATAAACAAACACAATAAAGAAAGAAAGAAATATATAGCATGGTAAATAGCAAAATATTTCAAGATAGAGAAAAAACAAGATGATTATGATGCCATGATTATTCTTAGACTTGTAAAAGGATCCAGTGTATCTCGATGGTGATTACAAGATAGAATGAGTTTTTTCTATGGAAAACAAGGTAAATTTTCTTCTTGTTTGTTGGAAGACCTTTAAGGAAGAGTAAAAGTCATACATATCAATTGTTACCAATAGTTAGGACTGCCTTAAAAAGAAACGAAAACTGATTCCTGTGGGCCGAGAGGGGTCCTCACGGCTAAGCAGGAGGGAGTGCTCTGAGGGTGGGCTCAGGGCCCCAGAACAGTGATGTGGACCCACTGAGGGAAGGGCCGCAGTTGGAGTTGAGGCCCCCAGGAGACTGTGTCTCTTCCTCCATGGACCCCTCTCTGTTCTTTTGGTGAGTATTTCTCCTTTCATATCAGTCCCTCTGCTCCTATTCCATGTCATAGCACACCTGACCCTGAAGCCTCTTGGTATGTTACACCTTGATGTGCTCTGTCTCCTCTCTGACCCTCATGGCTAGCAGATGAGGATAGGCAGCCATGCAGGTTCTGGCCATATTCGGAGTTTGTAAGTTCTAGTCAATCTGAGTTAAACAAGTAGCCTTAGGTATTTTTGTGTGAAAGACTCCAACAGACTTAGAACCAGGTTTGACTTCAGTTTGTGAGATTGTGCAAGTACCAACCAGCTCGGAGACAGGTGTATAGAAGCAGCCAAGGTCATCAGTTGTATAGCCACTGGTCCTGCTCCTCACTGTTGTTTCTTCAAGATAACCACAGTGTGTGTTAGATTTCTGGAACCAGAGTTCCAAACCAGGACTTGTGGATGTTGTAATTACTCTTTTGCTTTTCTCTCAGAATATATTCTTTCTTGGATCATAATTTTCACCTCTGTTCACGTCAGAAGTTCCTGGAGTCTAAGAAAACATTACATGCCCATATGAAAGTCTTCGCCTCTTGATAGGAACCATCCCATCGTCAGCCTCCTCTTTCTCAGTCATCATTGCTAAGCTGTGTGTGACTTAGTGGAGTGCTTAGTGAGTTGATATCTGCAGTAATTTGTAAATTCCTTTTTCAAGAGTTTTTAGTGTCCATTTCTCTTAGCCCATTATATTCTTAAGGTTCATTCAAATAGTAAGGATTGATAATAGGATAAAATAATTTAATATTTAGGTACGTAAAAAATTAGAGTAATATTTTCATGTTTTCCAACATCTTAAAAGACTGTGTATTGTCTAGGTTCATTGAATTAGACTATTTTGAATGTATCTAACAGTAGTTTTTCAAACTTCTTATCATGGTTTTCGAGTTGGAATTTTCAGAGGTATCTCAGGGAACTTGGGGACAAGCAGACAGTAACTTGAGATCTGAGCTTTCCTCTTGTGCTTCAACCAGAAAGCTTTTCTAAGTATTTATTTATTTTGGTACAAAGTCTCACTCTGTCACGCAGTGTGGAGTGCAATGGTACCATCATGGCTCACTGCGGCCTTGAGCTCCTGGGCTCAGGTGATCCTCCCACCTCAGCCTCCTGAGTAGCTGGGACTACAAGCACAGGCAACTATGCAGGAAAAAAAATAGTTTGAGTCGGGTTCTCACTCTGTCACCCAGGCTGGAGTGCAGTGGCACACTCACAGCCTTGACCTGCTGGGCTCAGAAGATCCTTTCATCTCAGCCTTCCAAGTAGCTGGAACTACAGACACACACCACCATGCTCAGCTAATTTTTTGATTTATTGTAGAGACACGGTCTCGCCATGTTGCCCGGGCTAGTCTCGAACCCTTGGACTCAGGCAGTCCTCTCGCCACTGCCTCCCAAAGTGCTAGAATTATAGGCATGAATCACCATGCCCTGCTTTTAAAATACATTTATTTAAAATAGTTTTTAAATAATACATTTTAAAAATACATTTATTTAAAATAGTTTTGCTTGGGGAGAAAGCAAAAGCTCAAAGGTACAATCTGTTCATTTACTAGACATGTACTGCGGACTACATGCTAGACCCTGGGTATATGAAGATGGGGAAACACTGATTCGTGGCTGTTTCTTAGCAGAACATCAGACTGAGCAAAGTGTTAATTTTCCTCTTTGTTTTAACATTAGGTATGTTCTATATAAGCATGCTTAATACATGTGTAGCTTAAAGTGCATTTTAAAGACCAGGATTCTATCTGAGACCTTTTATATTTTATATCATTTTTTTGTGTGACGCCACATACATAACTATTACTACATAACTATTACTAACATGTTTTACATGTCTTTTTGTTGAAAATACTTTTATTTTTGCTTCTAGAATGAAAGACTTAAGAAACTTTGTACTGATCTAGAAGAAAAGCATGAAGCATCAGAGCTTCAAATAAAGCAGCAATCTACAAGTTACCGAAGTCAACTACAACAGAAAGAGGTAGGGGAGATCACAGTTACTTCTTATGTATATCACTGTAATGTATGTAGAAATGTTGTAAAGAGTTACATTATAAAGCAAGTTATATTTAGATCCATAAAAATATTGAAAGGATGTGAGTTTAATAACCCAACTCAGTTTGATATCACTAATTTAATAAGAACTTTGTAAGCTTTTCTGTTAAGTTTTTTATATAAACCTTTGTGGAGTTTCATCTCTTCTTTCCAAAAGAAGAAAAGTTCTTTTATAAAATAGCTTTAGGTATCTGTTGCTTTTACTTTCTGATTTTATGAAATCTAATTTATCATCTATTTTTTTTAAGTTATTTTAAATGAGTGTGGTCATTCCTAATGACATTTTCTCTTTCAAAAATGCTCTTGGGACAGGGCATGGTGGTATGCACCTGTAATCCCATTGCCCTGGAAGCCAAGGCAGGAGAATCACTTGAGCCTTGAGGTTACGGTGAGCTGTGATCATGCCACTGCACCACTCCAACTTGGTTGATAGAGCGAGACCTTGTCCCTTTAAATTATCAAATTCTCCTTAATGTTTAATATGCAAGTGGTCCAATAAATACTTACATTGAACCATTTCCTATTTTAGTATCCATATCTTTGGATGTTCTTCAGTTTTTTATTAAATGTTCATTTCTACCATAACTTCATATTTGGGCTTATAAAATTTAGATACATTGATTTCTAATTTCTTTGATGGTATGCTAAGGTGAAAAATAAAAGTGGCCATGCGCAGTGGCTCAAGCCTATAATCCCAGCTTTGGGAGGCCGAGGCGAGAGGATTGCCTGAGCCTAGGGGTTCAAGACCAGCCCGGACAACTTGGTGAGACTTCGTCTCTATAATAAATCAAAAAATAATCTGGGCATGATAGTGCATGCCTGTAGTTCCAGCCACTTGGAAGGCTGAGACGGAAGGATTGCCTGAGCCCAGCAGGTCGAGGCTGCAGTGGCTGTGAGTGTGCCAATGAACTCCAGTCTGGGCTACAGAGTGAGACTCCCACTCAAAAAAAAAAAAAAAGAGAAGTGTACCACATTGAAGATAAATATAAACATTTCAAGTAGAGCTGGCTGGATTCGGTGGCTCACACCTATAATCGCAGCACTTTGGGAGGCCAAGGTAAGAGGATTTCCTGAGCACAGGGGTTCGAGACCAACCTGGGCAACTTGGCAAGACCTTATCTCTACAATCAAAACATTAGCTGGTCGTGGTGGCGTGTACCTGCAGCTACTTGGAAGGCTGAGGCAGAAGGATCACCTGAGCCCAGCAGGTCAAGGCTACAGTAGCCATGAGCGTGCCACTGCACTCCAACTGGGCTGGGCGACAGAATGAGACAGAGTGAGACTCAAGAAAAAAAAGTAGAGCTTGTATTTCCAAGTTGTTGGGAATTGATAATTTGATAAAATATAATTTAAAATAAATTGCTGCAAAAATAAAATGAATACAAAGAAAACAAAGTTACAAGCCTGCTGTGGTAATCATGTTTGTTTTTTAACTGTAGATATTACGGTTGGGATGATAGAGAAGATTAGGATTCAGTCAAGCGTGCACCCGTGGAGAACATTAGACAAGTTAGTATTGTGAATGCATGAGCAGGTCCACATGGTCAGTTCTCTAAGACTGGCTCGTAACTGTGCAGGTAGAAATCAGCCACCTTAAAGCAAGGCAGATGGCACTGCAGGAGCAGGTGCTGAAGCTGCAGTCAGCCGAGCAGCCCATGGCATCTTTGTCCCTCAACTGTGGTGTCCGTCCCCATGCTCCCACCTTCCAACATGATGACATGGACTTTGGAGACATCATTTCATCCCAGCAAGAAATCAACAGATTGTCAAACGAAGTCTCAAGGCTTGAGTCAGAAGTTGGTCATTGGAGACATATTGCTCAGGTGGGTCAATCTTCTGAGCGAAAATACTGGTCTTAGATTGAAAACTAATGGTAGAACTTGTGGTATTACAAAGAGTCCTGGACTAGGAAATAGAAAATTTGAGTTCTAATTTTGCCAGTGACTTGCTAAGTGAATTAGGTCTTGTCATCTTTCTCTCCCAGCCTCTTTTTCCCTTTCTGTACATGGTTTGGAAAATATTTTCAAAATTTAAAGCAATAGATTCATTTTTTTAAAAAGCTGCCAGGTGCAGCAGCTCGCACCTATAAGCCCAGCCCTTTGGGAGGCCTAAGTGGGCCTGAGCCCATGGGTCCAAGACCAGCCTGGGCAACCTGGCGAAACCTCATCTCTTAAAAAAAAAATAAAATACAAGTCCAGGGCTCAAAAGATAAAAACTGAGTTACTGGGTTTCCCTAGGCATCCTGGGGCTTCTTTGGCAGGAATACCAGGCATATGTCTAACACTGCCTACCTGAGTGTTGTCTGAGCCTCTGCTAGCTCTTGTTACATGTAGAATGAAAGTCTGATCATTGGTGTTATTAAATGTGATTAACTGTCCCATGTTATTTCTCATGCACTACAAATTGGATTTTTGCCATTTGAGGTTGTAAACTTTCCTCCAGGGAGCCCTTTTTGTCTTACATATCAGATTTTATAAGGTTGAGAATCCCTTATTCAAAATGCTTGGAACCAGAGTATTTTGGAGTTTGCATTGTTTTAGCTTCTAGAATACTTGCATAAACATAATGAGCTATATCTTGAGGGTGGAACTCAATTAAAAACATGAAATTCATTATGTTTCATATGTAACTTATACCCATAGGTAATTTTGAATACTATGTTTTTGATATTTTGTGTGTGAAATACAAAGTACCTATGTGTGGAATTTTCCATTTGTGGCATCATGTTAGCACTCACAAAATTTTGGATTTTGGAGCATTTCAGATTTCGAATTTTCATGTTAGGGATGCTCAACCTTTATACCATGGTGCTGTTCTTAGGCATGAGACCTGGAATAAACCGGAACATTGTTCATTTGGGTTTAACTTTGTCAACATAGAAAAAAAGTATATAAGTAAAGAGATTATTTTCCATCTTTTTGTGAATGTACTGTAGTTATGTAAAGGAGAAATCACCCCAATTAAAACTATCTCCTTGCTTCCCAAGTTGCTAGACATTTCCAGTACCCAAAATAAACCTTGGAGAGGGTATCCTGTATATCTGTCTCATCTCCCGAAATCAGTAGTTCTTACTCTTTTTGTGTGTTCAAACAACCTGAAGAGCTTGATAGTATTGTAGATCCCTGTCCTTCCTTTACAATTTTCCATTTATCAGCCAATTTTAGGGCCTTGGAAACCACTCAAACAAACATTCCAAGTGACTCTGGTACTTGAAGAACAAGTAAGGAATACTGGCAAGAGTATGATTTCACAGGGAGGGAAGGGCTTTTGGCATACTGACTTTAGCGTTTCTTGAATGCCTGCTACATTACACACTTGTGTTGGAATGTAAAGGTGAGAAGGCATAGTCAACTTTGTATTGACAGTTTACAAGATGTTGTCATACACTATCTCAGCATATATATTATCCTCAATACCGTGTGGCGAATTGATTACCTCCATTTTGCAGATAAGGAAACTAAATGCTTATATAACACACCTGCTGTTAGAGTCATTAAACTATGATTCCAACACAGGTGTCTGACTTCAAAGCCTGTGCTGTTTCATTGTGCTGTGCTCCTTCCCCCAGTCCCTCCATTCTTGGGCACACTGATTGCCCTGCAGTGATGTTAGTCAAGGCAGGCAAGCAACACACAACTGGGAACGTGAGGAGGAGAAGCTACATGCTCTTCTACCTACCTGTCAAACCAAAGATGATTCTCTGTTGGGTAGAGGCTTCTGGGTAAAATAATTTTTAAAAGATTTGTACTGGCTGGGTGCGGTGGCCCAAGCTTGCAATCCCAGCACTTTGGGAGACTGAGGTGAGAGAATTGCTTGAACCCATGGGCTTGAGACCAGCCTGGGCAACTTGGCAACTCTACAGTAAATCAAAAAATTAGCCAGGCACGGTAGTGCGCACCTGTAGTTCCAGCTACTTGGAAGGCTGAGGTGGAAGGCTCACCTGAGCCCAGCGGGTCAACGTGAGTGTGCTGCTACACTCCAGCCTGGGCGAGTTTGAGACTCCAACTCAAAAAAATAAAAATAAAAAAAATGAAAGATTTGTACTGGCTCATTATTAACACTTTGTGCTCAGATGTCCCCTCTCAAGGGACATAAAAAGATTGCTGGTGATTATACAGGACAAGCTTATGCAAGCGTAGATTTTTTTTTAAATGTATGTTTTCTTGAAGTTTTCCATTAAAAAACAATGAAAATCCTATGTCTCATTTGAAATTTGTCAAGCTTCTGATCAGTTGAGAAGTGGTTTTCAGGAATCATGAGTGTGTCCTTCCACATTGTCTTCGAACAACAGACTAGACAATAGATTATATATTATTAATGTGGGGGGAAGAAAATGAGACTGCATTGTCTGTTCAAATAGAAAAACACCAGGTAGAAGACGTCCAACAAATTACTATTGCACAACATCTATCAGTGAACCTGCAGTGCATGTCAGTGACTGTTTGACACGTTACTACATATTAGAAAAATATCAGATAAAAATTTTTGATTTTTTTGTCATAAGAAGTTCCTCAATGTCCAGAATTTCATAAGAAGGCAAATATCATTGCAATAAAATAATTGGTTCCCAAACTATACGAATTAATATGACTGGCCTGGCTCGGTGGCTCAGGCTATAATCCCAGAGCGTTGGGAGACCAAGGTGAGTGGATTGCCTGAGCCTGCAGGTTCGCAACCCGCCTGGGCAACTTGGTGAGACCTCATCTCTGCAATAAATCAAAAATCAGCTGGGCGTGGTAGCGCACGCTTGTAGTTCTGGCTACTTGGAAGGCTGAGGTGGAAAGATCGCAGGTTGAGGCTGCGGTGGCCAGAAGCATGCCACAGCATTCTAGTCAGGGCAATGGAGACTCCAACTCAAAAAATTAATATGAGTGATTCTTTTTTACTGTTTCATTAAAAAAGTGTGGTTGAGTTGCTGGTAGGTGATCCACAAGATGTCTCTGAGTGCAAAGTGTTACTATTCAGTAACTTTCTGTGTTAGAAATTTCTTTTTAGAAAACTGCTTGATTACCTTTTTTTTTTTTTTTTTTTTTTTTTTTTTTTTTTGTTGAGTTGGAGTCTCAGTCTGTCACCCAGACTGGAATGCAATGTCACGTTCCCAGCCACTGCAGCCTCGACCTTCTGGGCGGTGATCCTGCCTCAGCCTTCCAAGTAGCCGGAACTACAGGCGCACACTGCTGCACCTGGCTAGTTTTTGATTTATTGTAGAGACGAGGTCTCGCCAAGTTGCCTGGGTGGGTCTTGAACCTGCAGGCTCAGACAATCCACTTGCCTCGGCCTCCCAAAGGGCTGGTATTACAGACTGAGCCACCGAGCCCGGCCCGTATTATCTTTACACTTAAATTTTGTTAAGCTAAATAAAATATCCTGTGACCTTTTCTGGCTTAACTTTGGTTCTTTTGTAAAACTGTTGCCTCGCAATTAGTTAAAGAGTATGGTATCTTTTGTTTATTGTGTATTACTCACTATTGGACTATGTTTTTAAAGAGATACTTGGCATTTTTTAGTCAGAATCTGTCTAGGAAATGCCCCTTTTTTGAAAAGTGTCTTTTAATGTAGTTAGTTTATGACTTTCTGTTTTATAAGAAAATTCAAATAATTATTTACTAATTTCCTTTTTCTGATCTAGACTTCTAAAGCACAAGGAACACATAGCTCTGATCAAAGTGAAATCTGCAAACTGCAGAATATCATTAAGGTATGTCAAATTGTTGATTGTCAATCGCTATTAATACATATAAAATCTGCTTATTAAAAGCATGAGCCTAAATTAAGAAAATTCTCAGTTATAAAAGTAATTATGTAGATTTTGATGTTTTCTGTCATTGTTGAGATAGGGTCTCATTCTGTTGCCCAGAGTGCAGTGGCATGATCATAGCTTGCTGTAACCATGAACTCCTGGGCTCAAGTGATCCTCCTGCTTCAGCCTCTGGAGTAGCTAGGACTAACGATGTATACCACTATGCCTGGCTAATTAAAAAAAAATGTTTTTGTATGGATGAGGGTCTCACTATATTGCCCAGGCTGGTCCTCCCACCTCAGCCTCCCAAAGTGCTAGGATTATAGGCATTGTGCCTGGCCTTTTAATGTTTTTTTGTCCTCTTTATTATTTCTGACATGATATATTAAAAATCTATCTTTCCAAAACAATTTATTAGGTAGTTTATATTTCATCAGTCTCTGTATTGTGTTGTATCTTATGAAACTATCTTTATTAAAACAATTCCAAGCTGGGCTCGGTGGCTCAGCCTGTAATCCCGCGCCTTTGGGAGGCTGAGGTGAGTGGATTGCCTGAGCTGCGGGTTCGAGACCCGCCTGGGCAGCGAGACCTCATCTCTACAATAAATCAAAAATCATCCGGGCGTGGTAGCGCATGCCTGTAATTCCGGCTACTCGGAAGGCTGAGGCGGAAGGATCGCCGGAGCCCGGCAGGTCGAGGCTGCGGTGGCCGGGAGCGGCCACTGCACTCCAGTCTGGGCGACAGAGTGAGACTCCAACTCAAAAAAAAAAAAACAAAAACAATTCCAGGGTTGCTGATGTGCTAAGATTTAGAATTAAAGGATACTGATGAAACAAAATGTTAATATTATTCATTATAAATAATTATTTTACCTTAGTAGTGAGATTTTGCTAGTTTGTGTCATCTGTTATTTCTTTCTAGAAAAGTCTTAGTTAAATATGTTTGTCATGGCAATGAATTGTTTTTAGTGTTTAAATTATTGTCAGATATAGAATGTTTAGTTTCTGGTTTTATTATTATTATTACAGTCCTAGTAGTTAGGTTCTAGAGTCAGACCTGTGTTTGAATCGTAGCTGTATTATTTCGCAACTGCACTACTTCAGGCAAGTTACCTAACATTTCCAAACTCTGTTTTATTATCAGTAAATTAGATCCCATCATAATACCTACCTTGTAGGATTGTTTTGAGGCTTAAATGTAAAGTTCTTAGCCCAGTGCTGGCACATAGGTAAATGCGTAGGATTAAAGGGTAGATTTCACTTGTCTTCCCAAGAGATGGAAGCCAATTTATGGGTAAGGATTCTTAGTTATAGGCAACAAAAACCGTCTATTTCTCAGTAAAGCAAAAGAGCATTCCCTGGAAGGAGCCAGGGTAACCCATCTGCAGGACTCGGAGGAGTTGAGCATTTGGCCTTAGGAAGGATGGCAGCAGCAGGAGTCTGGATAAGAGACACTGTGGTCAGCGTTGAGGGTGCTGCTGTGAGAAGCTCCAACCAGCCCCTCTGGTCTTGGCTCCAGATCTAGGTTCCTGGGAGACCCTGATGGTCTCAACACAGGTAGCACGGTAGCACAGCAGCTTGGGTAACCACTGGGTATTCCCATTAAGACTGGTGAAACAAAAACTGAGTGAGAGGTGGGGTTGGCGGGACAGCAGGTGTGGCTAGTGAGGACTGACACAGGTGTTGGTGGGAGTATCCACAGGAAAGGGAGAAGTTCATGGTCACAGACACTGAGGGAGAGTGCTTTGTGCTCGTGTCTTGTTTCAATGTTTTCTTGTAGATTCTCCTTCATTAAAGGTAGAAAAAACTGTCTTTAAGACCTGACAAAGGGAAGGGTGGTTATCTTAATTTGTGGCCCATGTTTAAATTCTTTTCAGCCTGAATATGTTCAGAATTATTTTTTAATAATACTTTTGAAACAAAACAATGAAATAAATAGCTTAGTAAAGTCATTGGTCATAAATGTGATTACCTTTGTTTTCAAGGAACTTAAACAGAACCGAAGTCAGGAAATTGATGACCATCAACATGAAATGTCAGTGTTGCAGAATGCACATCAACAGAAATTGACAGAAATAAGTCGTCGACATCGAGAGGAATTACGTGACTATGAAGAACGAATTGAAGAACTCGAAAATCTGCTACAGCAAGGTTATTAGTTTTTCAGTTTAGCATCTTAGATGATATAATTAAATGGTAAACTGAGCACTCTAGGTAACGGCTGTAAACCTGGACTAAGTTCTAAAGAATAAATAAATTACTAGTTCTGCTTGTCTAGAAGAACTAGGATTTGCAATGCCCCACTACTTTCAACATTTTGCAGAAATGGAAAGATCTTTTTGCCTTTGTGATAAATAGTTATAATTCATAGATTGCTTTGCATTGTTTGGTGACGATACATTGGCAATAAATTACTAGAGATATTCTCACTTTCTTTCAAACTCAGATACATAGGCTTTCTCATAGCTGATTCAAATAATATTTTCCCCTAGTTTTTGTTTATTTAAAAATGCTTAGTTTACTATAATAATTAACTTTTTTTTTTTTGAGTTGGAGTCTCACTCTTTCGCCCGGCTGGAATACAGTGGCACACTCATGGCCACTACAGCCTCAACTTACTGAGCTCAGGTGATACTTCTGCCTCAGCCTTCCAAGTAGCTGAAACCACAGGCATGTGCCACCTCGTCTGGATAATTTTTTGATTTGTTGTAGAGACAAGGTCTTGTCATGTTGCTCAGGCTGGTCTTGAACCTCTGAGCTCAGGCAGTCCTCTCCCCTCTGCCTCCCAGAGTGCTGGGATTACAGGCTTGAGCCACCACACCCAGCTAACTTTTTTAAAGCTTTCCGAGTTCTGAGCACTCTTAAATCTCTTAGTGGTTTATAGCAAGCTATTTCTTTGTTGGTACTTGATTTTTTCTTTTGAGCCGGAGTCTCACTCTGTCGCCCAGGCTGGAGTGCAGTGGCACGCTCATGGCCACTGTAGGGTCGACCTGCTGGGCTCAGGTGATCCTTCTGCCTCAGCCTTTCAAGTAGCTGGAACCACAGGCATGTGCCACCACAACCGGATAATTTTAATTTATTGTAGAGACAAGGTCTTACCATGTTGCTCCAGCTGGTCTTGAACCCCTGAGCTCAGGCAATCTTCTTGCCTCCACCTCCCAAAGTGCTGGGATTACAAACTTGAGCCACCACACCTAGCTAACTTGTTTTTTAAACTTTCCAAGTTCTGAGCTCTCTTAAATCTCTTAGTGGTTTATAGAAAACTATTTCTTTGTTGGTACTTGACTTTTTTTTTATTTGAGTCAGAGTCTCACTCTGTTGCCCAGGCTGGAGTGCAGTGGCATACCCACGGCCACCACAGCCTCGACCTGCTGGGTTCAGGCGATCCTTCCACTTCAGCCTTCCAAGTAGCTGGAATTACAGACACGCGCCACCATGCCTGGCTAATTTTTTGATTTATTGTAGAGAAAAGGACTCGCCATGTTGCCTAGGCTCGTTTTGAACTCATAGGTTCAGGCAATCCTCTCGCCTCCACCTCCTAAAGTGCTGGGATTACAGGTGTGAGTCACTGCACCCAGCTGGTACTTGACATTTGATGTCCTGATTTTATATTTATATTCTAGGTGGCTCTGGAGTTACAGAAACAGATCACTCTAAGATCTATGAGATGCAAAAAACCATTCAAGTTCTACAAACTGAAAAAGTCGAGTCTACAAAAAAAATTGAAGAACTTGAGGATAAAATAAAAGATACAAACAAAAAGTTGTCTTCTGCAGAAGATGACAGAGATGTTTTGAGGGGAGAACAAGAACAGCTGAAGGTGGAAAACAGACAAATGAGTGAAGAATATGAACGCTTGAAGCTGGCATGTGGTCAGTTACAACCTCACACTGTGAAGCAGGGCCACGCTGTGATGGGGGAGGACGGAACTCTTACACAGGGCATCCCAGTGGAGGAAGTGGTGCGACTGCAGCAGGCGCTGTCGGGTACAACACATGTGGAACTTGCTTCTGATCAGTGCTTTTTTGCATACTAGTTGATTTTAGAGACAAACACTTGAATAATAGAATGCTTTGTAGAAACGGAGTATTCATGGAAGTGACTGTGTGATTTGAGTGAATTGTTTGGATTCAGTGCCATGGTTAATGGCTTGCAAAGAGGGATTTTCTACTGATAGGGTTAGGTTTTGGCGAGGTGTCTCAGCTTCCTTCCCCATCCTTTCAGTATTTTCATGAAACTGCTTGACTTAGGAGGCTAGGTGGGTTTTTGAGAAGTGTTTATGGACAAAGATGCAGTTGGGAAGAGGTACAAGTCTGTTTCTTCTGATGGGTATAGAACTGCAGGCTCAAACCTGCTGGTTCCTTTTGAAACGATGTCCTGCATTGAAGCAAAGACCTGAGTTATGAGGGCCATAGGTCTTCTATCGTTTTTCATGCTCAGAATGATATTTTGTCCCTATATCGATGCTTTACACAAAATAAGTATTAAATGAATTAGCCTGAATGCCAGTACTTGTTCATGCCAAGAAAACTTAAGAGGAGCCTGTGAGCTGACAGTCATTTCATTTGCATCTCTTCTTGCGGGGTCAGCACCCACTTTGTGAACTGGCTTGCTCCTGCTCTGGTGGCCTAGCCCTCTGTGCTTGTGACCATCCAGTTGTGTCCCTCACACCATCAGTTACTTTGAGCTCCTTGTCTGGATGGCTAGCTTGTCCACACCCTGTGGAATTTGCAACTAAAGTTAAGCTCTAGGGAGAGTCCTCTTCTCTTCCTTTCCCTACCTTGGTGGTGTATCTCCCACCTGACAAAGTCCTGTTGGGTTGCTCTCCTTGGCTTCTCTTGGTTCAGTGAGATTTTAAGAGTGTCTCCTGGGAGCCCCCTACAGGCAAGGGGAAGACGCTGTGGTTGCTGTCTGGACTTCTTTCTCATTTGGCTTTTGGCTTCAATTGAAGCAGCTCTGCCTTTTTTTTTTTTTTTGAGTCGAAGTCTCACTCTGTCACCCAGGCTAGAGTACAGTGGCACACTGCTCACAGCCACCGCAGCCCTGACCTGCTGGGCTCAGGCAATCCTTCTGCATCAGCCTTCCAAGTAGCTGGAACTACAGGCATGTCCCACCACACCCAGATAATTTTTGGATTTATTGTAGAGACGAGGTCTTGCCAGGTTTCCCAGGCTGGTCTTGAGCCCGTGGGCTCAGACAGTCCTCTCACCTTGGCCTCCCAAAGTGCTGGGATTGTAGGCGTGAGCCACCACACCTGGCCTAGCTCTGCTGTTTTAAAACAAGTTGACTTCCTTATTTATTATATCGAATGAGCCATTTGCATTTATGTGCTTCATAACACACCTGCCCTAATGCTTCCCCTTCTTCAACTCCATTACCACAGGATTGCTCCAGCCAATCATGATGCTTTTTGCCTGCGTTAACTAGTGCATCTCTTAATGGAGCAGACTTGCCTAGTGGTTAAGGCAACTGGGCCGACTTGGGCAAGTTGGTTAACATCTCTGCCTTGGTTTTTTATCCATAGTGTTGGGATGATAATGGTATTTTCCTTGTAGTTGTAGTAATGTTTATAGGATTTCTAGCTGCAGTGTTCTCTTTAGGACAGTGTCTGGTCAGTAGCAAGTGTTATTAAAAGTGTTTGCTGTTTTCTTTTCTTTTAGAGATAGGGTCTTGCTCTTCTGCCTGGGCTGGAGTACAGTGATGTGATCATAACTCACTGCAGCCTTGAACTTTTGGGTTCAAGCAATTCTCCCGTCTCAGCCTCCTGAGTATAGCTAGGTCTACAGGCTAGTGCCACCATGCCTGGCTGATTGATTGTACAGATGGAGTCTCACTAAGTTGTCCAGGCTAGTCTTGAACTCCTAGCCTCAAGCAGTCCTCCCACCTCAGCCTCCCAAGGTGCTAGGATTACAGGTGTGAGCCACTGCACCCAGCCAAAAGTGTTGCCCCATTTTTTCTGGTCTCCATGATTCCTCCTTCATTTCTAAACATCTGCAGCCAGAACAATTTTTCAGAAATGCAAAACAGGTTACTCTCTTGATGCCAGTACTTTGTGGCTCCCTATACTGGACATGCAGTGTCTGTCATGATGGGGTCTCGCCTGCTTCCTCAGTGTCAGCTCTTCTCATTTTCCAAGCATCCTATGCTGTGTCCTTGTTGACTTGTCTGCAGTTCATTAGACCAGCCGTGCTGTCTGTGCTCTGTTGCCTTGGCACTCGTGCTCTGCATAGAGTGTTCCTGAGGCTGCTGACCCTGGACAATGTTGCTGTTCCCCTGGCTTGTCTGCCTCCTAATCAGGAGTGGGCACGTGTCCCTGTTGCTCTGGCAGCCCCCTTGCGTCTGTGTCACTGTTATAGTCATGCGTTCACTGATTTTTTTCCCACTCTGAAACGTATACTCTTGGAGAGCAAGGACAAGATTTTTCGAGTGTGTTTTCTGGTATCTGGCCTCAGTAAATGCTCAGTGTTTCTGGAATGAATGTTAAATCAATTATTTCTACTGAACTCGTGGTATTCTCTTTGTGTGCCTCCTCCAGAACCGAATCTATTTATAATACCATATTGAAGGACCTTTGTATCAGCAGTCAGGTTGAAATTGCTTAAGATAATTTAGAGGTTACTGTTTTGTTATGGTATAAATATATATTTATTACTTTAAGTGTTTTCCTAAAATCGTAGACCTTATATTTCCTGCTACGCAAACTAATCAACTCATTTTGTAACATATTTGTATTTTTTATCAAGGCAATAATTTATTACTCATCCAGAATACAGTTATAATTCTTTCTTATACTTTTCTATAGAATTGGATTTTAGCATGGTTTTTTTGGTTTTTTTCAGGGAGGGGTTTTAGAGTTGGATCTTGCTCCGTCGCCCAGGCTGGGGTGCAGTGGTGCAATCATGGCTCACTGCAGCCTTGAACTCAAGTGATCCTCCTGTCTCAGCCTCTTGAGTGACTGGGATTCCTGGCATGTTCCACCACACCTGGCTAATTTTTTATGTTTTATAGAAACAGAGTCTCATTATGTTGCCCAGGCTGGTCCCAAACTCCTGACCTCAAGCAGTCTTCCCATTTCAGCCTCCAAAGCACTGGGATTACAGGCATGAGCCACTGTGCCTGACTTTAACATGATTTTTAACTGATTTATATTATGATTTATTTGGTAAAGTCAAAGCAGATATGTCTCACTCAGAACTATTGGTGCACACTAATTTTGCTTAGATGTATACTTTGTTTTAATTGGGTTGCATTTCTGAGTTTAATATAGGAGGTGATTTTATTCTAAATAATTTTAATGTCAGATTCATTTGCTGTTTTTACAGATGCTGAAAATGAAATAATGAGACTGAGTAGTTTAAACCAGGTAAACTTATTTTAAGGAGAAAACTTTTGGTGTTGGTTGATTTATTATAGTTGCTCATTTTGTGTTCCTTTACAAATTCATGTGAACTTAACTCTAGGAACTTTCATCTTAGTAATTTACTGATTAGTAACAAACTTTTTGCATTGCAAATTGACATTATTTTAAAAGTTAATAGAAAAATGCTGGTGTATCTCTGAAGATTATTTCACCAATGTTTTATGTGTAGAGAGAGTAGAAGTCAATCCTATCAAAAACAAAGTGATACAAGCAGTTTGATTTTCCCTAATGAATACAGGAAGTTGTTTCTCAAATAACTACTCATTACTTTGTAAGTGTTTTTTCACATTTTTTCAACTATAATGAAGAAACCCTCTATAAGGATGTCTAAAATGAATGAAGGCTTTCGATGGGCCGGTGTTACAGCCTCACACTTTTTTCTGTATCCCTGTAGAAATACTGAGTAGAAATGCGCAATTGTAGAACTTGCCTACTTTTTTGTAAAATAGAAGTTTCTTGTTATCTGAAAACCCTGTTTTCAACATTTTTGTAGGATAACAGTCTTGCTGAAAACAATCTGAAACTTAAAACACGGGTCCAAGTTTTAGAAAAAGAGAAGTTGTTGTTGAGTCAAGAAAAGGTGGGTGTGAAAATAGGGCAGAATTTTAAAAGTGCATGTGTAGTTCACAGCCGAGGGCCGGTTTCTATCTGCAGAGCGTGTGGTCATCAAAGTCCTGAGTAGGCTGATCTCATCAGTGCTGGTTGGGCCAGGCTGAGGGCCCCGGGCAAGGTTCAGAACATGAGAGGCTGACAGGGTTTATGCTTAGAGATAGCCAACTGGCATACAGACATAGATGGATAGGCCCGGGAAGGCCTGGCAACAGCAGTGTATACAGGTGGGTTGGGGTCTGCAGTGGCCCACTATCATCACTGTGTACATGCTCTGTGTACTCAGAATGTGTCCAGGGCGGAAGACAGAGATTACTCAGTGGGGAAGGTAAAGGAACATTCACAGTGGTAGAAATGGAATCTTTTGTGTATATTGGTAGCAAGGATGGAGGAAGACTCTGAAGGGGCAGAGGGATTCAGAAGTATTTTCATTTTTGTACCACTTGGGGTAATTCTTTTGCCAGGACAGTTGTCAGCTGGTTTTACTTAAGTTAAAGCCCTCACGTGGGAGGGGATAACAGAAGAGGGTTAGGAAAGTTCTTGGGTAGGACCATCCTTGGGAATAAGGGGGGGGGTAGGAAAACCCTTAGGTGGGACCGTCCTTGTGGGGGAAGAATAAGGGAAGGGCCGGGCTCGGTGGCTCAGCCTGTAATCCCCCTTTGAGAGGCTGAGGTGAGTGGATTGCCTGAGCCCGCGGGTTCACGACCCGCCTGGGCAACTTGGCGAGACCTCATCTCTCCAATAAATCAAAAAATCAGCTGGGCATGGTAGCGCATGCCTGTAATTCCGGCTACCTGGAAGGCTGAGGCGGAAGGATCGCCGGAGCCCAGCAGGTCGAGGCTGCAGTGGCCAGGAGCGGCCACTGCACTCCAGTCTGGGCGACAGAGTGAGACTCCAACTCAAAAAAAAAAAAAAGAATAAGGGAAGGAAGGTAGGAAAGTCCTCAAGTGGGACCGTCCTTGAGGGAGATAGGGGGAAGAGGGGGTAGGAAAACCCATGGATGGGACCATCCTTGAGGTGGGATAAGGGGAAAGGGTAGTAGAAAGGCCTCGAGTGGGACCATCCTTCTGGGGCAATAAAGGGAAGCGGGGGTGGGAGAGCCCACAAATGGGACTGTCCTTGGAGGGGATAAGCGAAAAGGGGCATAGAGAACCCTCGGGTGGGACTATCCTTGGGGGACTAAGAGGAAGGGGGGTAGGAAAGCCCTTGGGGGGAGCATGGGGGGAGGAAAGCCCTTGGGTGGGATTGTCCTTGAGGGGATAAGGGGAAGGGGTGTAGGAAAGCCCTCGATGGGACTGCCTTTGGTAAAGAAGCTGGAACAGACTTAGCTGTTGTGACTTAGCTGTCACACCTCATCTCAGATTATAGAAATGTTTTGTTTGAAGCTGCTCCTGAAGGAAAGCTGTGACTGGTTGAATTTTATGTACCATTGAGGTATTGCTCAGCAGTGTTTCCTTGCAGAGCATCTGAAGTAGACCCCAGACTGTGCTCATACATGTTTTTAATCTTCTGGTGTCTCCTGTCGACAATGTGTTGTTTTTTTCTCCTTTATCATTTTAGGAAGAACTTCAAACATCACTTTTAAAATTGAAAAATGAATATGAAGTGATTAAAAGTACAACTACAAGAGACATGACTTTGGATTCAGAATTACATGACTTAAGGCTTAGTTTGGAGGCAAAGGAACAAGAACTCAACCAAAGTATCAAAGAGAAGGAAGTACTGATAACTGAGTTGGAAGAGTTGGACAGACAGAACCAGGAAGCTACAAAGGTAACACAGGATTAAAGACAGTGAAGCCCAGTGTGGTAGCTCACACCTGTATTCTTAGCACTTTGGGAGGCTGAGGCAAGAGGATTGCTTGAGCCTCGGAGTACAAGACCAGCCTGGGCAGAATAGCAAGACCCCATCTCTACAAAAAAAATTTAAAAATTAGCTGGGTGTGGTGGCACATGCCTCTGGTCCCAGCTACTTAGGAGACTGAGGCAGGAGAGCCGTATGAAACCAGGAGGTCAAGTTGTAGTCAGTTATGATCATGTCGCTGCACTCCAGCATGGGCAACAGAGTGAGACCCCAACTCAGAAATAAATAAGTAAAGGCACATTCTGTAGACTGGACACTGGGTTAGCATGCAGAAATGATAATGTAACTTAATTTGTGATTTAATACCTTAGTTCATTAATGCTGTAGTCACAGAGATTGACAAACTCTTTGTAGTGTTAGATAGTAAATATCTAACACTTTGCAGGTGTAGTCTCAGTTGCAACTGCTCAACTCTGTTGTGATAAATGTATGAATAAATGTGACTGTTTTTCAATATAGTTTTATTCACATAAGCAGGCAGCAATCCCAGTTTGGCCCATGGGCTGTAGTTTGTTGACTCCACTCTAGTGTCTAAGAGTAAAAAAATAAGCAACATATGTTATTTCCATCTTTGGTTTTTAAATTCTTATCCCAGTTGGGAATGGCTGTTACCTGTAATCTCAGCAGTTTGGGTAACCAGGACAAGAGGATTTCTTGAAGCCAGGAGTTCAAGGATGCAGTGAACCGTGATTGTGCCAGTGTACTGCCAGTGTACTCCAGACTGGGGCACAGAGTGAGACCCTGTCTCTAAACACATAAAATCTTAACCCTAAAATGAAAAAGCAATTAAGATGCCTTGCAGTAAGGTATTAGGGAATAATTTTGTAGGGGATGTTGTGATAGGAAAAATACACACACACACACACACACACACATATATATTTTTTAGTTGGAGTCTCACTTTGTCTCCCAGGCTGGAGTGCAATGTCACACTCATGGCCACCGCAGCCTCGACCTGCTGGGTTCAGGTGATCCTTCTGCTTCAGCCTTCC